CACAAGGCACAGGGCAGCAAGGCAGCAGGGCAGCAGCCTGGGGTGACCTGGATGGAGGCCTCCATATCTCCTGCAGTAGTACCTTCTCTTGCTGCAGCTCCTGGCTGGGCCTCAGCTACTCTAGACAGTTCGCCTTAACTCTAAAATTAATTATTGCCCAGCCAGAGTGGCTCAGTTGGTTGAATGTCATCCTGTGTACCAAAAGGTTGCATGTTCGATCCTTGGTCAGGGCATGTATTGAAGGTAACCGACGTATTGATTGATGTTTCTTTCACACATCAATCTCTCTTTTCCTATCACTAAGTCCTGGGGTGAGGATAAAAAAAAAAAAAAAAAAAAAAATTGAAATACTTCTTTCTCTTGGCGCTGGCATATTATTTGGACCAGTCTCTTATAAAAGGACTTTCCATTGAGGAAAAGCATACAGATATTGGAGTAAATTATCAAAGTAATTAATTTTTTTTTTTTTTTATTGATTTCAGAGGAAGGGAGAGGAAAGAGAGGTAGCAACGTCAATAATTAGAATTGCCGAAACTGGTTTGGCTCAGAGATAGAGCATCGGTCTGCGGACTGAAAGGTCCCAGGTTTGATTCCGGTCAGGGGCATGTACAAGGGCATGTACTGAGCCAAACCAGTTAGAGTCAAAGTAATTTTAATGACGTCACATTACATTTATTGTTTCAATTAGTTCTCCCAATAACTCTCTAAGTTGTATGTATTCTTGTTATACCTTTTTTTTTTTTTTTTTTTTTTTTAATAGATAAGGAAACTTATCTGGTTTTAGTAGAGTGGTACTTTTCTTCCTGATATTTCTGAGGAGAGGCCAGGGATGTTGCTTAAACATCCTACAATGCACAAGACCCACCCCACCCTGTAGGGGGTGTGCAAGGGCAGTTGGTCGATGTCTCTCTCTCATCGACTCTCTCCCTTCCTCTCTGTTAAAAAATAAATAAATAAATAAATAAAAATATATTAAAATATGTTTTTTTAAAAATAGAGAGAATTATTGATCAGGCTGCCTCCTACAGGCCTCATACTGGGGATCAAGCCTGCAACCTGGGCATGTGCCCTTGACCAGAATGGAACTTGGGACCCTTCAGTCCACAGGCCAACGCTCTATCCACTGAGCCAAACCAGTTAGAGTCAAAGTAATTTTAATGATGTCACATTACATTTATTGTTTCAATTAGTTCTCCCAACAACTCTATAAGTATGTATGTATTCTTGTTATACCTTTTTTTTTTTTTTAATAGATAAAGAAACTTATCTGGTTTCTTATCTGTAAGGAGAGGCCAGAGATGTTGCTTAAACATCCTACAATGCACAAGACCCACCCCACCCTGTAAACAATTATTGGCCATAGTATCAACAGTGGAGGTTGAGAAACCTTGAGTCTAGCTTGTTCCATTCTGTTGTTACTGAGAAAACCTTATTGTCTCAGAAATCCTTCATCGGGATTTGGTTTCTGAGGCTAAGTGCCTCCTATCTAATACTTTATAGCTCGGCTCATTGACTCATTCTGGCACATCCTATACCTTCACCTTACACTAAATGGTTGGGTTTGTTTTTTTTTTTTAGTAGAGTGGTACTTTTTCTTCCTGATATTTCCGAGAGAGAGGCTTGGTTGGCCAGCAGTTCTTGCAGAAGAGAACCTGGTGACAATCTGTTGCTGGCATCGTTAGCTTCCTAATCTATGTTTACATGGCACCAAAAACTGACTCTTCCTGGTGCCAGGCTTCTTTTCTTCTCAGCACTCTGGCACTGTTGGCAGGGAACACCTCCCCAGTCTCTTCACACATGTTTATTTTATAGCACAGCTGTTCTCCAAATGATGTTTCTTGAGGCATGCTCAGGGTGCTTCTAGAGCAGTGGATTGGAGCCTTAGCCATTTGTCTTACCAGTTGCAAATCCACAGCACTCATAAAGCATCTGGTATTTTTCGTAACTGTTTTCCTGTTCGTAGTTCTCATCTTCTCCCTCATATTTTAAACCTTTAGAATATGGGATTTGTTTCTTCCATTTATTTTCTACTTTTAGCAACTAGCATTTCGTTCATCATATACTGAGAAAGTCAATTTATCTTCTTCCATTTAGGGTTATATGCTTTTCTATGAGAAGTTGGAGGAAATAAATGATAAGGAACTAAAGTAATTTGAGAGAAGCTAGTGGTTAAAGGAAGATGTCAGCCATCTAGATAAGCAAGCCAGGGGAACAATTCATAAGCTCAGTGGAATTGAGCTAGGGTCAGAGTGCAACTGAATGATTTTGTGCTGGGAAACAGTAGATCTTAGAATTTAAAAAATGGTTTTCATTATCAAGGAGGCCTATAAAAATAAGAAAGTCCCTATTAAGGAAGTCCCATAGGAACCTTCACCTTCTCGTGACCCAGAAGTTTAGCAAAAGTTTCTGATTAGATGTGATTATTATAAAATCTTCTGTAAATGTTAAAAGGGTAGCTAAATTGGTTAGAGCATTGTCCCGATATGCCAAGGTTGAGGGTTCAATCCCTGGTCAGGGCACATACAAGAAACAACAGGTGAATACATAAATAAGTAGAACAACAAATCATTGTTTCTCTATCTCTTTCTCTTTTCCTCCCTCCTCCTCTCTCTCTCCCTCCTTCCGTGTGTCTGTCTATCTGTCTGTCTCTCTCTCTCTCATTAAAAATATGAAATAAAATAAAGGGAAGGATATATAAATATATATTTACCTAATTTGAGTGGTGTGCCACAGGGCCCTCAATAGGGGTGTGAGGTCAGTGGACTCATTGACAGCATCCCCCAAATGCTGTCTTCCTCAGGCCTTAGGGAAATCGTGATCATTTGGGTCTCTGTCTATGAATCTGTAAGATTGTAAAGAATATTTTGTTTGGGGGTATTGTTTTCTCTAAAATAGTACTTCTCAACCTCTATTTCATTATTACCCTTCTTATGAGCCTTTTTAGACATTTTCCCCCTAATCATCTCTATTGTCATGAAATTTTAATATCACGGATGTGCTGTATATCTGTTTATCTACTGCAGTACATAGGAAGAGAACTAGCTATTGTACTAAGATTCCCCTGCTTCCCTTATGAACTAGTTTTTACCCCCATGAGGGTAATATTGCCCGTGTTGAGAATGTATAATCTAGTCATATCCTCATCTTGAAAATGAGCTGTTACAGTATATGTACTTTTCTCTGCAGTTGAAACTGGGGCAAAGGCACTATCAGTAAACTAATGTTAACAAATCTTCCCATGCAGTGGCCTGCAGCAATTAGAGAAAAGTAGGAAGAATCTTTTTCTCATATTTTAGGGCTTGTTTGCTCTCTGAATAATCTTTTGGCCAGTTGAGCAAACAATTGGAAAAACACTAGGAGTAACAGAGCAATGAAGACAATTCTCTAAAAGATAAGAAATAAAAGATAAAAAGATGACAAAACCCTTTGTAGTGATATGCAGAAATCTAAAGTTGTTCACTATTTGGAGACCAGTAAGCTCTAACAAGCTCAGTTTCTCAAAGCAGGAGTTGATTTGCAGCAGAGCATAACATGTAGGTTGTCTAGCATGCAAGAATGTTCTCCCAGGAGGGTTTGGCTCTGTCTGATCGGATGGGTGGTTGTGTACGGAATGCACCTTGGAAGGAGGAGGAGGAAATGACATGTTCATGTAAATAAAATACAACTGCAGATTAAAGTGTTACCCTGTTTAAAAAAAAATCAATTTTTTATTTAATTGGCTACCAAGGAAAAAAATGTCATACTGAAGTGTGTATCTCAGGGAAATTTAAACTGAGATGTTACAAGTGAATCTGGATTCAGAGAAGTTCTCCTGAGTGGGGTGGAAGTGTGAGTTATAAAATGTTGTCATAATAAAAATATTTTGATGCTGAGAAACTAAGCTTATAAATTTCTGCTGTGTTACATGCCAGGGGTTCAGAAGAATTAACAAATATTATCTCATTTGTTTTTTATAATCTATATCCAGTCAGCTGTATAGTGGCTGTCTGTTCCCTGGAGGGAGCCTTCTTTTAAGATTTTTTATTAGGAAGAAGGTCATATACTAAGGAGGAGAAGCTTTTTTCTAAAGAGTGCTGCTTATTAAAAAGACATCCAGAGACCAAAATGCTTTTCTCTGTTAATGGTGTCCTCTCATGCTTTCACTCTGTTTTACTCTATTATTTTTTAAAAATCCTTACCCGAGGACATTTTTCCATTGATTTTTAGAGAGAGTGAAAGGCAGAGAAAACTATTGATATGAGAGAAATACATTAATTGGTTGCTTCCTGCACAAGCCGAAATAGGGCCCTAGCCAGGGAGAATCCTGCAACTAAAATATGTGACCTTGACCAAAATAGAACCTGGGACCCTTCAGTCCGCAGGCCCACAGACACTATCCACTGAGCCCAACCAGCTTGTTTCACATTTTTATGAAAATTCATGTCTCTTTAGATTGTGAGCTTACCAAATAGGGTATAAACAGTATCTGCAACATTGTTGGCACTAAGTAAATGTTAATAATGGAGGGAGCAACCCTGGCTGGTATGGCTCAGTGGTTGAGTGTCCTCCTGTGCACCAAAAAGGTTGCCCGTTCAATTCCTGGTCAGGGCACATGCTTAGGTTGTGGATTTGTTCCCCAGTTGGGTGATTGTGGGAAGCAGCCGATTGATGTTTTGTTTTCATATCAGTGTTTCCCTCCCTCTCTCCCTTCTCCCTCCCTCTCTTCTTCCCTCCCCCCTCCATACCTCTCTCTCTAAAAAATCAATTTAAAAACATATTAAATAATGGGAGAGGGCTGATGAATGGGATTATATTTCCACATAAAATTGTTCTTGAGAAACATGTCTGATTTCTCTTTAAAACAGGGGCTTGACAGATGGGACTCGCCAGCCTTCTTTAGCCCTAGTATGGTTCTTTCTCTTACCTCTCTCCTACTAATCCCAGTATGGATTTACTAATGTTCTCAGTGGAAACATGTAGATAAACACTGTAATGGACTCTCTTGTCTTCTCTCTCACCAGGGGCAGTGATTGGTGATGGACAGTCTGCTGTGGCCAGTAATATTGCCAATACTACCTACCGGCTCCAGTGGTGGGACTTCACTAAATTTGACCTCCCAGAAATCAGTAATGGTAAGCCAAAGTAGAACTTGGGATACTGATGGATGGGGTATCTCTTATTGGTGAAACATAACTCAGAAACTCACGTAGCACCGGACTTTCCATCATCTCATTGAGAAGCAGATTACCACATGTCTTTTCTGCAACTCTCAGTTAAGCAGTTCAGCAAACAATGCTAAGTTCAGTACAAGGAACAGTGCTAAAGTGGATATAGAAATGAAGATGTCTGTGCCCTGAGAAGCTTACTTACGAGTAGTTCATTGTTCTAAGCCTAGAAGTTAAGATATCTAGCAAGTATATCTAGGATAAATTCCTATAAATGAAATTGGAGGGAGGAAGAGTATGTATATTTGTGATTTTGGTAGATATTGCTAAATCGCCCTCTACTCGGGTAATGCCAGTTTATACTCCCAAGTACAGTTTATGAGAGTGCCTGTTTCCCTACACTCTTGAATAGAATGTGTTAGCATATTTTTGGATATCTGAAAATCTGATAGGTAAAAAGAATAGTATGTAGATATTTTTAATTTGTATTTCTCATATTACAAAACAGGTGGTGGGCTTCTTCATACACTGAGCCATGCAGGTGGCCTTTTCTTGACTGTCCAGGTGCTTTCTTTAGCTGTTTTTCTATTGTGTTCCTGGTCTTTTCCTTATTGGTTTTACATAATAGGCGTTTACTAGTTGTCATTTTTATTTTGACTTCGCTGAAGGTTATTTTTCTTCATAGAACTTACTTTAGGTAGTCAAAATTCCCCAACTTTCCTTCTATGATTCTCAGATTTTGTGTCATCATTAGGAAGATCAGAAGTAATTTTATATTTTAGTTTTTTATTTTACCTCTTAGTCTTTGCTAAACTAGGAAATTTAACCTAATACCAAAGAAGCAGGGTATGATTTGACTTTTCCCTCATGGCTACTCATTTGTTCCAGATAATTTATAGAATAATCCATTTGCCTCCATTGCTTTGGAATGTTACTTCCATCCTATTAATAATTTTCTGTGTGTATTGAAATGTATTTCTAGGCTATTTTGTCCCAGTGATCTTTCTGATTCCTCATGTGAGAGTGCCCATGGGTCTTTTAAGTTTTGAAGCTTTATGTTTTAGAATTTGGTAGGACTCTCTTCTTGCTATTTTTTTTAATTCAAATTTTCCTGCCTGCTCAAGCATTTTTGTTTTTCTGCATGGACTTTTAACTACTTGTTTTTCCCTCCTGAAAAAATCCTATTAGTGTAATTATTATGATTGTATTAACTTTGTAATTAACTTAAGGAGATTCAATATCTTTATATCTTCCAGTGTAAGAATGTAATATCATTTCCAGTTTCTCTTGTATTCTTATGAATGTTAAAAGTTTACTTCACTTGATTTTGTACATTTCTTAAATGTATTGTTACAAGTTTATTTATTTATCTATCTATCTATTTATTTATTTAAATATATTTTATTGATTTTGTACAGAGAGGAAGGGAGAGGGATAGAGAGTTAGAAACATCGGTAAGAGAAAGTCATCGATCAGCTGCATCTTGCACACCCCCCACTGGGGATGTGCCAGCAACCAAGGTACATGTCCTTGACTGGAATCGAACACGGGACCCTTCAGTCCCCAAGCCGACGCTCTATCCACCGAGCCAAACCGGTTTCGGCACAAGTTTATTTTTTAATTTCTACAATCGTACTGAATCTGTTTACTAGTTGTTATCAGCTAAATCTCATGGGTTTTCTAGATGTGTTATCTATAAATAGAAAATTTACCTCTTCCATTCCAAGTTTTACACCTGTGATTTCTTTCTCTTGTCTAAATGCATTGGCTGCTATGATGAGAACAATGTTAGTAATAGCAAGCATCCTCATTGTTCCTGACTTAAACGGGAAAACATCCAACTTTTTCTCAGCAAGCATATTGCTGGCTTTGGGTTGAACTAGAAATAGTTTATTATTTTAAGGAAGTTGTCTATTCCTATTTTACCAAGAAGTTTGTGGGGTTTTTTTAAACTCAAGAATATAAGATATTGAATCTAGTCATGCCTTTTGTGTATCTACAGAGATGATCATATTTTTTTCTCTCCTTTGATTTACTAGTATGATTATTATGTTAATAGATTATGTACTATTGAAACCATCCTTATATTCCTTGACTAGACCCCACCTGATCCAGGATATATTCTTTAATGTTAAATTTCTTTCATGTAGCTTGCTAGTAATTAGAGGATTTCATCGGTATGAGATGAATCTCTCCCCCTTTTTTCTTTTTAATACTCAACCTGAGGCTATTTCTTGCATTGATTTTTAGAGAGAGAGCGTGGGAGGGAGGGAAGAGGGAAGAAAGAGGGGGAGAGAAACATTGATGTGAAAGAGACACATTGACGGTTTGCCTCTTGCACTCGCCCTGGCCAGTGGCCGGGAATTGTACCTGCAACCAAGGTACTTGCCCTTTACTGGGATTCAAACAGGAGGCCCTTCAGTGTGCTGGCCAGTATTGCAACCACTGAGCAAAACTGGCCCGGGTAAATCTGTCCTTTCTTGTTTCTAAAATCTATGGGTTTTGGTATTAGTGTTACGCTTGTGTTAAAATGTGGAGGTTTTTCTTCATTTGAAACAATTATAATACTATTGGAGTTACTTATACTTTTAATACAAAGACCTGATGGTTGTTTTGCTTCTGTTTTTCATAAGCATAGGGAGAATTAGTTCTCTGATAATTTTCCTTGTCAACTGTACTATGGTGGTAAAGCAAATGAGCTCTTGGGTTACACTGTCCAGGTTCAAATCCCTGCTCAGCCACCTTCTAGCATTGTGACTTTGGTTACTTAATCTCTCCACACCTTGATTTCTTTGTCTACAAAATGAGGATAATAATGCAAATCTCATAGGATTGTTATGAGAATTAAATTAGTTAATACATGTCAAACACTCTAAGGTCAGTAAAGTTAGCTCTTTTTATATCTTTTTCTTGGGGATTGTGCCATGATTCTTTGAGAGTATGGCCTTAATTCTGAAATCACACCTGTACTCTGAGGAACATGCTTTTCATCTCTGAAGCGTGATGTTTTTTGTTTTTTGTTTTTTGTTTTTTAATAATTTTTCTTTTTTATGTGTTGTTGTTTTTTTTTTTAATATATTTTATTGTTTTGTACAGAGAGGAAGGGAGAGAGATAGAGAGTTAGAAACATCGATGAGGGAGAGTCATCGATCAGCTGCCTCTTGCACACCCTCTACTGGAGATATGCCTGCAACCAAGGTACATGCCCTTGACTGGAATCGAACCTGGGATCCTTCAGTCCCCTAGCCAACGCTCTACCTACTGAGCCAAACCGGTTTCGGCTGAAGCGTGATGTTTATGTAAATAAGATAATTGCTTCTTTAACTTGTTGCCTCATTTATAATGGGCTTCTGATCTTTCTTAAGCATGTTGTTTCTACCCAGTTGGAGATCATTTTCCTTGAGAGAAAAACAAAATATTCAGAAGAACAAAGGTATTGGATATGTTAATATCTCACCAGGCCTTTTTGGATGCCTTTAACATTTTTTGTACAAGCATCAGGGCATTGCAACTACAGCTTTCTATCGTTCTCCTTCTGTGTTCCTTCTTACATCTTGTGATCATGGGTCTTGTAATACCCAAGCTGATCAGGGAGCATTTTGTGTAACTAGGTTGATTCGTTTAGTTTAGCTCACCTTTCTCCCTCATTTAAATCATGTGTGATGTTAAAATTCTGCTTTTTATAAGAGCCCTATTTTTCTTAGAGTTTTGACCTTAGGCAAAACCTGCATTCTAGAAGTTTGGGGCACATAATGTCTGATGGGGTAGCCACGTTCCTTTTCATGGTATTACTTTCTAGAATGATTATCACTCTCACCTGATTAATGATTTCCCGTCATTAGCTTTTAACTGCTTGTGTTTTGTGGTTGGTCTAAATAAAGTCTAGTTATGGTTTTGATCATTTCTCAAGTTAGGCTAGAGATTCTGGCCACCTGTTTCAGTTGGAATACTATCTGTAAAGAGATTAGAAGTTTGTGACTAAGACCTCAAATGCATAATTTTGAAACTGTTTTCATGGGTGGAAAATAATGACTCATTAGATTTACTGTGAATTACACTTTTTTGTTATTTTTTTAAATCTTCACCTAAGGATATATTTTTATTGATTTTTAGAGAGAGGGGAAAGGAAAGAAAGAAACATAAATCTGTTGCCTCCTATATGCGCCCCAATCAGGCATTGAACCCACAACCTAGGTATATGCCCTAACTAGAAATCTAACCTACAGACTTTTGGTATACCTGTCGATGCTCCAAACAATGGAGCCACTTGGCCAGGTGAATTACACTTTTTAAGAGAAACTCTTACTGGGTAAATAGCATTGGTCATTAAGGTACCTTGAATGGTATGGGGCAGATCATAGCACCAGGCCAGCACCGGGGCTTGGGTCGCAGCCTGAGGTCCCCCAGGACAGGGTGGGGGCATGGCCTGAGATCCCTTTCACGCCCCCACCGGGTGGTGGGTGCGACCTGAGGTCCCCAGATAAGCCCCACTGGGAAGGGAGGGGTGTGCAGCCTCAGGTGTCCTGACCTGCCTGGCTTCACGCAGTTTCAGGTCCCTGCTGATTGCTTGTTATGGGAACCCTGCTTCCACTGTGGGTGCAGCCATCTTGTGTTATAAGAACCCCAGCCTCCACTGTGAGTGCAGCCACCTTGTGATGGCATGATGGTTAATTTGCATATTACCTCTTTATTATATAGGATAGATAGGAGGGGCTCAGAGTTAGCCCCTTCAGAGGAAATTTTCCTGCTGGTTTAAACCTTTTGGAAAATATCTAATGCATTTGCAAAAGCACTGCAACTGCTAATCACTCCCATGGCCTCATCTGGCCAACCAGCAACAGGCTACAAATTGATCTTTGTAAAAGATGTTTGTTTATAACTAGGGAGTTGATAGGAAGGTAGAGCCATTTGCTCCTCCACCATCAGCACTTCTAACCCCTCCCATTCCCTGCTAGGGCATTTTCACTTGGAAATCATTTATAATTAGGAGAAGATTACATTGCAGTCTGGAACATGGTGGCTTCCTGCTGTCTTCTGCATTGGTTTTTTTTCTCCCCCTGGAGCTGCCCCCCTGAAGCTCTGAAGCAGTTTTGATTGGAAAAAGCCTTTCTTTCTAGCCTTTATTTCTGTTCTCTGCTCCACAGCTGATTGCTCTATCATTGTTCCTCACGTGTTTTTTTTAAGTGCGGGCAGGTTGCTGGTGCTATAGCTCAGGGATCAAGGAATGTTGGTAAAGTAGCAGTTTTCAAGTATGGCCCCAAACCAGCATCAGGAACACCTGGAAAATTGTTAGAAATGCAAATTCTCAGTCCTTACCCTGATACTGTTTTAAATATATTTTATTGATCTTTTACAGAGAGGAAGGGAGAGGGACAGAGGGTTAGAAACATTGATGAGAGAGACATCGGTCAGCTGCCTTCTGCACACCCCCCACTGGGGATGTGCCCACAACCAATGTACATGCCCTTGACCGGAATCGAACCTGGGACCTTTCAATCCGCAGACCGACACTCTATCCACCGAGCCAAACCGGTTTTGGCACCCTGATACTGTTTTAAATAAGCCTTCCAGATGATTCTGAGGCAGGTCGGGGCTTGAGACCCACTGTGTGGTAAGACAAGTCTGCGAGCAGAACAAATATTTACAATGGTGTGTGGCTGCCAGCGTCTTGGGCTACATTTTACTTCACCTTTTTCTCTACCTGTTTACGTTATTATTGAGTCTAAAAAGGATGAGGTATCCTTGTCATTAGTGCATTTCTTTCTATGGCCCAAGAAAACTAGCAACAGATTTGAGAACTCTCTCCTTATATGAATTAACTCATCAAAATGTCAGCCTCCTGAGAAGCTGCACCAGTAAACTGCAGCATTGACCACTCACCATGTCACTGAGCATTTCCAGTCCCGTGTGGGAAATTAATAGACAACAGCAGCAAATGTAAGTTGCTAATTGGAGCTTTGAAATAAAAATGAAGTTGTAAACACACCACCCAGTGCTCTCTGAAATGAAGCTACCAAATCACTGTGCGTCTTCCACATCCCTTCATTAGGGTAGACGTGAAAGCGTGCACAGTTTCTGAAACACAGCATGCTGTTGGAGAAGCTCTGTTTTAGTTTTCAGCATTCTCTTCTCATTTTTAATTTGTAAATCTGTCTGTAAGCTCCTGCTGTTAGGAGCAGCAGTTGAGAAATTGGATGGAGTTGCATGGAGGGGACTGCATTTGCAAGGTGGCCATTGACTTGGAATCATCATAATATAGTACAAACACAAACAAAGTGGCTTGGATTTGAGGCTCACAAACTGCTCTTTGTCTATATGTCGTTTTTCATGGACCTAAAGCAAGCTTTCCAGAAGAAGGAAAACCTTACTTTGTACTTCTCCCCACTCCTGGCCCCTTGTAGAAATTAATATGGGAGTAAACAATTAATGCTCCTTTTATGTTGGTAGTGCGTTTTGAGGGTCATCATAGGCTCTGTCTGTTTGACTGAATTGTCAGTTAACACACAAATAGAAAAGGCCTACTTTCATAAAATACCCACCATGCATTTTTATGTGGATAAAATAGTAACTGCAAAGCTGTCTGTTTTGCCCACAGCATCCCATCTCTTTCCCTATTTTCACGTCCTACTTAATATTTATGATTTCTTTACTTTGCTTCTCGTCCTGCTTTTTATGATTATAATGTAAATTGTCAGTTTTTTATCTTTCTAAGAGTTGTGCCTACATCAAGGTTAGAAAACCGAAATGGATACACTTCTGAAGTTTCCCACTGTCCCTTTGGTTCTGTATCCCCAAATGGAATTGTGTGTCAATCCAGAAAAGGAGGAGGAGACTGTCATCTTTTTGGCAACAGGCTTGGGACCCTGAATAAGGAGCAGACGGCCTCGGTGCTAACTAGATAAATCTAGCCATGTAGGCTAGAGCAGATGGTGGGTTGGAAGATGAGCAGTACAGAGCCCTAATGGTGGCAGTGAGTATTTGGATGTCATTATTTTATTAGTTAGCAAACAGAACCATCCTTGTGGTCCCTCCTCAGTTTTATGCGTGATGGCGCTGTTGGTGTCAGCCCCAGAGAATTGGCACAACAGCCTAATCAGTGTGTTCAGATGTCTTTTTTTTTTTTTTTATCTACTCTGTCATCTCTTGCTTCATTAGTAACACAGGAATAGGGGGATGAATATAGAGTTTTAGTTTTATCTAGGTCCCTGATTTCATGAGCTTCAAGGCCCCTGAAAAGTATTTCTGTTTTGTTTTCCTTAAGATAATTTTGTGGTGAAACTTGCCCTTGACCTCCCAAGTCATGTCTTTTGGCTTAAGATCACTTGGAATCTGGTGAGGGCAGCTGAGCTTGGCTTTCTTTCTTTTTCCCCTTTAACCATAATGCTCGGACAGCAGACGTCTAAGTAATCTTTGGATAAGAAGAGTAAAGTCTCTCTGCATGTGCATATAAAATAGACTTAAATGAGACAAAGCTCAAAGCAGCTTGGTCCCTTTGGATGTGTTGTGCTGTTTTGCTTGTGCCATGATATGGGCACTCTAGTTCCAGGCACACCTCAAGGGTAAGCCACTTCTTCCTGGTGGGGAATTGGAGAAAGATTCAAATAAAAACCAAAACAAAACTACAGGCATAGTCTGCTCGTGCAGAGCAGATTCTCCACCTGCAGACATTCCTCCAACACACACCCTCTTACACACACACACACACACACACACACACACACTCACATTAAAGTCTGCTGCCTGGTGGACCCACATGTAATTCTCAGTAACTGCCAAGTGCAGACTGGGGATGCCCATGGATATTGACTTTGTTTTTCTTTATCCTCACTTGTGGAATTAGGTATTAGTATTAGCCGGGGGCTGTTCAGAAGATTGGTATCTATAAATATTCCACTTCTCTTAAATGATAAAGACACAAACTTGTGAAATGACTTCCTTCTTCAGAGTCACAAAGCTTGTGTGAATAGGAGCCGCACCCCTAAAAGGAAGTTTACCTGTATCACCTTTTTCCTGGAGTCAGTGGGTTTGCATTTCATTCATCCTGGTTTTGACCTTTTGGACTACAACAGCTGCTGAGTGGCTCTCCAGGAACAATTTATAATAACTTTTTCCTTATCTGATCTCTCAAATGATGTTTCCTAAGTGTTAACTAAGACTCAGGAGGTAATTGTGGTTGTGTTAACTATTGAAGTTTCATATTAAAGTGGTAGAGGAGACATCTCTTTCCTGTCTCTAGTATTATTTGTACATTTGGGTTTGATTAAGCAGCCTTTAGCATTTCTAGAGAGGGTTCAGACCCCTTGGACCAGAAATATTTTTTAAATATATTTTTATCGATTTAGTGAGAGAAGAAGGGCGGGGGAGAGAGAAACATCTGTGTGAGAAAGAAACATGGATGGGCTGCCTCCTGCATGCCCCTTACTGGGGATCAGGGCCACAATCCAGGCATGTGCCCTGACCAGCGACCTCAAACAATGGAGCCACACTGGCCAGGGCTTGGCCCAGAATTTTCGTCCCTTCAACTACAAACATTTTTACCCTCTTTTCTTTCTTTGATGCAGCCTCCGTGAATGTGCTGGTACAGAACTGCAAGATCTACAATGATGCCAGCTGTGACATTTCTGCAGATGGTCAACTCCTGGCAGCTTTCATCCCTAGCAGCCAAAGGGGCTTTCCCGATGAAGGCATCCTGGCAGTGTACTCCTTGGCCCCCCACAACTTGGGTGAAATGCTCTACACCAAGCGATTTGGTAAGGGATAGGAAGCCCAAACTAGTGACAAAGGGATGCTGGTACCTTGGCATGAGCATTCCTAGGGGAGGCATGGTTTAGGTGGGAGTAATGGTCTTCACTGGGCCACAGACCAGAGGAAGATTGCTTTGCAGGAGTCCTGCCTGCTAGCATTGCCAAAGAATCTCAGAATAAAAGGCCTCCCTACCACAATAGCATCAGTGATATGCTTCTATTGTGATGGCCAGGAGTAAGGGAGGAACTTTGGTCATGGCTTGGGAAGTGGGCATACTCAGAAACTGTAAGGCAGTTTGGATTGTATTAAAAGCCCCCCAAAAATGTATTTTCTCTTTGATCTAGTAATTTCACTTCTAAGGAAATAAGAAAACCGTACAAAGCTTTATATACAATGATATTCACAGTACTATTATTTATCATAGAAAAAAAATATGAAATTGGGAAGAGTTGCTTAAATAAGTGATGTGCATTGATAGGACAGAATACCATTCGGCCTTTAAAATGTTCTTACAGAATATTTAATTATGGAAAATGTTCATAATGTGTGAAGTGAAAAAAATAGATTTCTAAGTTGTATTTAAAGTATGATATCAATTTTTTTTTAATGTTAATCTGTTATGGGTTCCATACAATGGTTAACATTTATTAAGTACTTTCTATATGTCAGACACTATAATCAGTACTTTACATTTTACTCCTCACCACAGTCCTATGTGTTAACCCCATAATGACCAAATGAAGATGGAGGCTGGAGAGAAAGAGAAAAGATTAAGAGGAAAAATTACTTTCTTGTAATAAAAGAATTCTGGGAAATCGTTCTCTCTTCTCTTGGCCCTCAGGTCCCAATGCCATTTCTGTGAGCCTGTCCCCAATGGGCCGGTACGTAATGGTGGGCTTGGCCTCACGAAGGATCCTGCTGCACCCCTCCACAGAGCACATGGTGGCCCAGGTCTTCAGGCTGCAACAGGCCCATGGTGGAGAGACCTCCATGCGGGTGAGTGTCATTGTTTGTGCTTCTGCTGTATGGCAGCTCTCCTAGGCTTGGCAGGGGAATGAAGGACAATGGGGCGATCTCTGAGCCAGGACCAGAGATATGCTCCTAAGGCATAAGGAAAGGCTACAGTTGGCACGTGCTGACCAACAGGCCTTACCTTTGGAAGCTGTGGAATATTAAAGGACAGGAGCTTTCTCACACCCTAGCTCATGAGCTGCGTTCCCAAGAAGCCGGAAAGATTTTTAGATAAAGACCAAACTGAATACTTCCTTGTCTCCTCCACACGAGACCTTTAATGGAGATATAAAAAGTGATATATTTAGCCTATATAAAACTCTTTTTTTCCTTTTTTTTTTTTTTTTTTTTTTTAAAGAAATCAATCTATAAAAATACACCTATAAAGTGTTCTTTGTGGTGGATTGTAATCATGATGAAGACTTTGGGCAGCTGCTGTGCTCTTAACTGCCCTGCCATTTCAGTAGCAGAGGAAGGTCCTATTTAGGACCCTTCCTTGTCAGAGGTGGATCCCTTCTAAGCCTCTGGACTCAACTAGACTAGTTTCTGTCTGAGTTTCCACATCCTATGGTGGCTCATTTGACCAGGGTTCTGTCAAGGGGAGTTTAGCATTGGAACAGTTCTCTAAGTAGATGGTATTTAAATTCTGTCTCAAGTTAAGAACCTATGAATTCCCTTAGCACTTTGTATTGTGCCATTTATAGTTTTGTGCACTTGTTTGTGTATTGTTTTGGGTGGTGTGTATGTTTAATCCACCCAGTTAGGTTTAGCATAAGCTTTAGGGGCATATCCCCCAGGTCACAAATGTCTGAAATTGGAAACATTTGTTTTAAAGAAAAAACTAGAGATTAGACCCATTTTATGGTGCAGTGGCCTCCATTCTGGTCTCCATCTTCTCTCTTCTCCCTCCTTGTTCCTATAGGGATCTATTCAGTGCTGTTGAGCCTCTTTCCAAGCACCTGAATTTAATAAGGCTCTTTCTTGCTAGTGTGCCTTTACCTGGAATGCTCTCTTCTCCCTCAAATCCAACTGCCCACAAGCTCTTCCCCTTCTGTGGAACCTTCCTAAACAGAACTGATCACTCCTGTGCGACCACCATACTCATGGTAACACTCATCGTACGACACTGCAATTATTTGTTTCCATGTTACTCTCCTCTCAGGCTGTGAACTCCTTGAGAACAGACAACTTGTCTGTTTTATCTTTACGTAGTTTGCATACCTAATAGGGAACCTGACATTTAGGAGAAACAATAAATGAAAGAGAGTCTCAAGAAAAGTGTCTTCTCTACTCTTGGCATCATAATGACAGGAGAGTTCTGATTCTTGGATTCCATATAAACAGAAATATTTGACATTGAGTGATCAGGAGAGGACTTCATCAAGTTTATTTTCTTATCTAGATATTTGAGGATGGAGTTGAATTTTAGTTTACATGTTCTTATTTTGCTTATTTTAAACATATTTGGATGGTCAGAGTACCTGGTGTCTGCTTTTTACCACCTAGAATCCTGGTCCCAACAGCTGTTCTTCTAACCCTGCCTAATTAGGGAATAATTGTTTATAATCATCAAGAGACAGGATCTGATTTCGTCAACACTAATGGACATCTCCAGTCTTTTCCGGAAACCAGGGCTCCTGCCCAACTCCTGGCTAAGGGCAAACAGCTACAGAGCGGGAGCCAAGATGTTGTCACATATGGAGCTGGCAGCTCAGGGAGTGCAGTTGGAGAAGTCTGCTGAGGAGATGCGGCAATTCACTGCTGTCCTGCTAAGGGGCTCAAGGCAACTAGCCAGCTGCTGTGTGCCTCGTGACAAGAGCTATTTTTCAGGCCTCCCAGCGAGGCTTTCTTGATTCTCAATAGGCACCATCTGCTGCTTAGGAGAGGGAGCTGAAGTAACTAGAAAGCTCCCATTTGGGATGTGTTCCTCTCACTCAAGAGACAGAATCCAGGCTTCCCAACAAGGTTTTAGTTGCCTGTCCACCAGTCTGACTGTGAAAGCCCCTGCTACAGACAGGTTTCTGATTTTTCAGGTCTTGGTTGCCCCTTAACGTCCAAAATCACCAAAGCACTTGGGAAATGTCCCTGAATTCATTCACTGGTAGAAGAGAAGACGCCAGCTTTTTTGGATACCATTTAAGGCAAGAAGTGCAGTTTTGTGTGAGGACAGGGAGCAAGGGTTTAATGGGACAGTAGAGCATCTCCCTCTTTGCACAGATAAGTATAGGTGGGTGTCTCCCTCTGTAATGTCAAGCTCTGTCCTTGAAGGAATGCTTTTGTAGGTAATGGGCTTGTCCTAGAGCTTCTCTACCCAGAATTCTCCTTCTCTTTGCTGTTGCCTCTTGGAATTCACTGCGGTAATATGTTCAGAGAGGTGAGCTTATTGGGCCACAGACATCCCAAGAGAAGGTCCTCCAGAGCACTGACTTACTGTAATTCCCACTAAGTGACATCTCTCCCCAAGAGATGATCTGTTCCACAGTCCCATATGAAGCCTCTTCTGAAAATGAATTGCTAATCACTATTAGTCTTGGCACTTTTATTCTAAGCAGTTCTTCAGACCCCTGGGTCAGTGCTTGTAAACTCTGCTACTTGGACAACCTGCATTAGAATACATGGGGTCCTTGCATAGGCACCACTTCAGACTTAGAATCAGTAAGGGAGAGACCCAGGAATTTGTCTTTGAAAAACAAGCTTTCCAGATGATCCTGATATGCACTTGAGTTTGAGAACTGCTGTTCTTAATGACTGCTGTCTTCATTTTAGGTTTCTGCCCTCAGCCTCTTCAAGGCAGAGACACAGTCTCAGGTTTACTTCTTTCGGTCTTTTTTTTCCTTTCAGTCTTGTGTGTGGTGCTTTGATACCACCTTTGGCTAATTTTGTTGCAGGCACAGTTGCACGGATGTCCCAATTCCTGCCAAACTCGTAGCTTTCTGGGTGTCCGTGCTTCACCTCCCATCCTTTCTCAGCTGTTGTTACTTTCCAGAGTTTGCCCTTGAATATCCCTGTGCTGGATTCTTTTCTTCCCCTGTTGAGTCATTTTCATTTTCATCCTGTTTCTAGGCTCTTGTGTCCTTTTGCTATTTCCCTTCTCTGCTTACTTTTAGTATGATTGGAAAGTCGGGAAGAATAAGAGTAGGCACATACGTTGTCTTCCCCTATTCCTCTGTCCATTTGAGGCTCCTACGGATCAGATAGGCTACTCTCTGTGATTCAGGGTCTTTCCATCGGACTCACTAATACTTGAGCCAAGGAGGGCTTTTTGTTCATTTCTGTTTTGTTTTTTAGTTAGGAATTTAGGAATTGCTGAGCTAAAGTTTTGTGTTCCCTCTCCACTTTCATTTTCTAATTGGAACAAGGCACAATATAGTAACAGAAAACTGCAATTAATTTTCTGAAATACTGGCAACTTGCACATTATAATAACTTTGGTTGTAACCAAGTGAAAGCATAATAACAAAAATTAGTGACAAAACCAGAAATAGCCATATACTAAACTGTTCTTCCAGTTTCTATTAGTAATAAGTGCTATTTTACCCTGGAATGGAGGCAGAGTCAACACCTATGGGTGGGGTGGGGAAATGCTGAGTCCTTTTGAGCTAGAAAACAAGAATAGCACTAGCTGGTTTGGCTCAGTGGATAGAGCATTCGCCTGCGGACCAAAGGGTCCCACTTTCAATTCCCATCAAGGGCTTATAACTCGGTTACAGACTCCTCCCCGAGGGCCCTGGTTGGGGCGCGTGCAGGAGGCAATCCATGTGTTTCTCTCACATCAATATTCCTCTCTGTGTTTCCCTCTCTCTTTCATTCTTTCTAAAATCAATGGAAAAAAATATCCTTGGGTGAGGATTAAAAAACAAAACAAGAAAACAACACAAGAATAAGGATTACCGGTAGTACTTTCAGCACAGGAATTAACAGGTGGTATGTACTCATTATCCCAGGTGCATAGAGCATTCCTCTCCCAGGTGGGGGCTGTAGGCATATATAAGAGGTTTAACACGAACCGCAAAGGACCCTGGTTACATAATCCCTGTAGCTCCAAAAGGCACTGGTTGCTTGGATCTCACCAGTGCGGATTTGCTTTTCCTCTCTGCTCATCTTATTGACAGAGAGATAAACAGGACACTTTCTTTGACTTGAGTGGGAGTAGAAGCTCTAGGACAAAGTAGTTTAGCTCTAATTTCTCCTTGAAACAGCTTTGTGCTCTCAAAGACGGCCTCAAATACTGAGAGGTCAATTTGGTTTAAAGCTTTTTCTTTGTGGCTATGCGGTAAAATTGTATTTAAGTGTTGAGCGACTTACCTACATATATCATTAGTTTGGAGTGGATGTTAGAAAGCCTTTCCCTCATTCCCTTTTTTCTTCCTTCCTTCTCTCCCCCTATTTAAGAAAAAAAAGAAAAAAGAAAAAAAGCTGAAACCAGTTTGGCTCAGTGGATAGAGCGTCGGCCTGCGGACTGAAGGGTCCCAGGTTCGATTCCGGTCAGGGGCATGTGCATTGGTTGCAGGCACATCCCCGGTGGGGGGGGTGCAAGAGGCAGCTGATGGATGATTCTCTCTCATCAATGTTTCTAACTATCTCTCTCCCTCTCTGTGGAAAATCAATAAAATATATTAAAAAAGAAAAGAAAAAGAAAATTTTATTGATTTTTAGAAAGAGGAAAGGAGAGAGGGAGAGAGACAGAAACATGGATCGGCTTCCTTCTACATGTCCTCCCACCCCTCCTTTACAACCCCTGCTGAGAATGGAGCCCGAAACCCGGGCATGTGCCCTGGCCAGGAATGGAACCAGTGACCTCTTGGTGCTGAGTTGACACTCAAACACTGAGCAACACCAGCCAGACTCTCCCCTATTTTTTTCTCCTCTCTTCCTGTTCACTCCCTTTCCCCCCCACTTCTTGACCCTAAGAGTTCTTGGACTGTTTCGTATGCCATGTCTCCAGAGAGTTTTAGCTCTAGAGATCTGCATCCATCTCTTCCTCA